TTTTATTTTGTTGTATTTATCCGCGACACCTTAAAGGCTGGTCCGTGAAAATATTGTCGGGCATAAACCGGTCCGTGGCGCAAAAAAGGTTGGAGACCGCTGGTGTACATGTTTTTGTAGTTTTGCCTCCGTAAAACCACCACAGAGAATTTTAAACCAAAAACCAATCGAGATGTGACTGAAGTGCAGACTTTCAGATTTATTTCAAGGACTTTAACGCAAGTTGTATTAACCATTTAAGTTGCAGCCAATTTTATACAGTCCTACATTTTCTGAGGCTCAAATTAAACTGAAATAATCTAAAATATAATGATTGTTTTTACTAATTGGATGAAATTCATTTGCAGTCAATGATGCCGCGATATTTAGAATCAATGGACATTATTAAATGCTGGCCTTTGCTATAGCTACCTTCAATGCTGCATGTGTGTGGGTCTTTCTGCTCTCCGTTTAATCTGCAGTAAATGAAAAGTAAGCTCTGCTGGTTCTTAGATCTCGCTGAATCACAGCAGATACTACAGCCCTGTACACTTCACATTCATCCTACTACTTCTATCAGCAGTCACATCATCATTAAACACTAGTGACCCGATTGTCAGCCAGACATGGCCATGGCATAAAACCACCTCCACCATGTCTGCGGTTTTCTTTGGCTGATGATCAATTTGTGTCCTTCTCCATACTTTTCTCTTTGAATCATTTTGTTACAAGTTAGTCTTCGTTTTGTTTATCCAAAGATTTTTTTCCCCAGAACTGGGACTCTGCACTCAAGAACAAAAAGACCAGATTAGACTCTCCCAAACTGTGTTTTGTACATTGTTGTAAACTCTGTAAACTCTGTATTTCCCTGATTGTAGACCTTAACAAATGTGCCGAGCTCCTGATGAATGTTCTTCAGGCAGACGTTGCAAAGTTGATTTCTTAGTGATGAAATTAATTATATTACCATGCTATTTAGTTTAAAATGACAGTGATAAGCTATAAATTACAAATGTACCTCTTTAAATCAATTTTAGGCATTATGTCTGCTTAATTTGTCATGAAATAACAAGAGATGAATTCTCTCCTGTCATTTAAAAGTCCAATTAATTTTGAGCCACTGAAGAAAGGGGACTGTGTATAAAAATACCTATAATTCCTAAGTTCTTGATGTAATATGCTTTTAAAACCCCTTAAATATCAGCAATAATTTGCACTTTAAAAACATTACGATTGTTTGAAATTAAATCCACTGTGGTGGTGGTGGTGGTGGTGTACAGGTCCAAAGCTACAAAAACTGTTTGTTCAGCAAGTTATGGATTTAACTGTAACACAACAGAAACACTGGAAACATTACATTTAGAGCAGAATTGGTATTTCTTAATCTACAAATAAAATCATTTAAAATGCTAAAAATGAAATTAAGTCCCTTAAAGAAGAGGAAAGACTTTAAGTATGAGAAGAAAAATAACATTTAAAGTAAACGTACTGAGGATTTCATTTGCCCATCTTAGTTTTAATGCAATAAAATGTTACTAAATGTAGTGGTGTAGGCCTGCGGACATTGTCCATCTTACAAGAATAGATGAGAGCTGGAAAGATGGGCTCATTTCTCTCTTGAGCAGTCTCCACCAGGATCCTCAGAGGCCCTTTGGGACAGAGCACTGCCAACAGATCTGCAAGAGAAAAGACGACAGAGGCCAGAAAAAGGATGTAAGCTACTGAACAGAGGGTTCTTTAAGAGGCCAAATGACTTGATGTGATATCTTCTACGAACAAGGGGCAGGAGCTTAAGTTAACATGCACAGTTTCTGGCAGTCCCAAATCTCTAAAGGGTTTACTTCCTAGTTTATTGAAACACGGCATAATTTATGATACATCCAAGTATTACACAACACTGTGATCTGTGGCTAAACTCTGATTCCCAGTTAAATAGTGTTCTTGGAAAAGAAAACTGCCACACTAACAGGAAATCTAATTTAATGACGCTTGATATACCCTGGACTTTGTCCCAGTGCGCTGCCTTTGAGGAAATACACAAATCAAGACAAAAATATTAAGCAAGCTTTCGAGCAAACACACTTCCTATTTATTTTTCTATGGCATACACGCAAAGTGATTTAAGCCTGGAACACTAACTCAAAAATTCCTCTGTGACTGACACCTAATCTATCTAAATGTTTCTTGTTGCCACCACTGATTTGACAGTTTGAGCATCTGTGTGTGCTCTCTGGATATCAGGTTTGGCTTTTAGCCCTTCTGCCCCCACATTCCCATTCCTCACAGACTTTTCACCCCATTTTCAAGTACTTTTGTAAATGTTTTAGCTCTTGAGAAACATTCTTCCCTCTAGCAACGAGATATTTCGACACTTGCATAGATACCACTGCAGAGAGAAAATAATGTTCCTATAAGTAAGAATACATTTACACAGCGGTGTTCAGTTAAAAGTGTAACGGATTGGTCAAGATTAGGTTTTCTTTCAGAGTTTATTCATTTATCAAAAATATAGAAAAGGCTCAATTGCTTAAAAAGTTTTTGTTTAAAAATCAAAAGTTTATATATCTTAAAAGTGACATTTTAAAGTTTAGCTTTTTTTCCCCCCCCCTCCATGCTTTTATCCAGCGAAACCGCTAAAAGAAACCAGATGACTGGACATTAGCACACAAAAACATCTTCAAAGGTTTGATGAAGACTTTAAAGAACACAGAGGTCAAAAAGCAGCGTGCGAGACTTACCGTAGACAGATATGACAGCTAATATGAGCCAGGCAGTCCACTCTGGCAGGTACTTGATGAAAACCAGGGCCATCAGGGCGCTGATCATGATGAGGTAGGCCTGCTGGAGCCGCAGAGGTCCCTTCCAATGAATACACATCATGCCCACCACTCCGAAATTCCAGATTATTATCGCTAGGGTTACGTAGTCCATGGCCAGATTGTAGGTCTTAAAAACCTCTCTGTTTGGACAGAGTGAAAGCATAATGAATTAAACTGCTTGACACTTTGAAATGTTTGTAACAACTGCATTAAAAGTTAAGTTGTGCAGCTTACTTGAGGTAGATGTAGGAGAAGAAGAAGAGCAGGAGGAGAGAGGAAAGGAAGAGCCAGCCTTGGATCACCTGTGAAAGCAAAAATCCGCATTATTTACAGAATATTTCACAGAATCTGTGCTTGTAAGACTCTGTATCTAGAATTTGATTTAAACTACAATATTTGACCCAAAAGGAGTCGCCTTTGGGTCTTTAATGAAAATTTGAGTCTCTTTAATCCTCCTGAAACCTTTTTACTTCAGGGTATGACCAAAATATGTGATTATGGTCACTAATATGTGGCTCACATTTTCTCCAACACTCATTCAACTCAATTTCTGCTACCATTTCTTCCACCCTAAAAATCTCATGTAATGGGAGTTGGTTCACTGATGTACTCCAGTCCATGTTCTTACCACTTATCCTGTAGTATAGCTGCATTTGCTTTGCCAGCAGAAGGTTTGTGGGTGGGGCTTCTGTAGTCACACAGCAGTGTTCATGAGATGACCGTATGAGAGATGTTGTATTATTGCCATCACATACAGCCCAAGAATAGCAAAAATTGATCTGTGTTTGCAGCAGTCTGAAGCCTGTGCTTTTAGCTCAGACGGTTTACTTTTATATATGTTGCAAAGCCATGTTTAATACAAGGTAGACCACGGGAAACACAATGGACAAGCGGAAAACAGCATCAATGAGAGCTGTATTTGTATTTGTGATCACTCCATGATTAAATTGCTATATATTTCATCACACTTAATCCCTGTATTTTTTATTTTAGTCTCCAACTCACTGTGTAAATGTATCCATTATGCTGTGCATTCTAGCAATGGAAAGGGAAAACAATGGTGTCTGTTTCTTATAACTACTCTCTGCTAATTCAACAAAAATTATGAATGCAAAAGTCAAGTATTGATTAAAAACTAAACCTTTCAATAATAATGAAGGAGCTTTGATAAAGGAAGCAGTGATTTCGAGCCGCACCTTAACTTTATTTTGTTTCTAACACAGTCACAGTTCCTGAAATCATATTTCTACAACTTGACTGGGGATCTACACCAACTGACAGACAACTTAAAACATGTTTTGTGTTGGGCGCTTTTCCACAGGAGATTTCTGTATTTGTTTTTTTATTGTTTTTGTTTTTTTGTTTATCTAAGCCGTACAGCTAAATAACAAATTATCACGAACACTATGTTTCTAGTGAAACTATGTCTTTCCAACTTTAATAAGTTTAAACAAATCCTGTAAAAAAGCCTTGAAACATTAAGTGTTTTTACACTCTAGGGTGCAGCTAATAAGACTATATACGTGGTGCAGCAAGATGTTAGAGGTGTTAATCTGTACCTTGTAGCAGCGGTACTTGTATAACATCACCAGCACCAAAGTCATAACGATGATTACAGTGATCATGATGGTGGCATTCAGAATGGAGTTGAGGGCTCTCTGTCCTACTGTGTCTGTGTCTTCAGGGAATGGTGTGTAGATCCTGAAGCGACAGATTAAACACACAGACACACACGCAGTACGGTTACAGTTTTGGAGCTGATGATTCAGGGGCATTAAAGTCTTCAGAAAAACTAAAAATATGTAAGATTATCTTTCTGTGGTTTGAGCTCAGGCTCTCTATAAAGATCTTAAGCATTAACAAAGCTACACGCATTACTGTCTACATGCCCAAAGGATGGAGGAATGACACAAGCACATTACATTATCTATACCTAGTGGCAGTTCTCCTGCACTGCATGTCATTCAAACAGAGGCTCTAATGTGAGCCTTGGATCATCTCATTTCCCTATGACAATCAGTGTGAAATGGATCATAGCACTTACAATCTCTGCCCGTCATTCTGGGTGTAGAAGCTGACAGATTTTATGGTTGCCACGACGACCACCATGCAAAGCGTCACTGGGACAAAAAGCATGATGACATGCTTGGCCCCGTATTTCAAAGTCAGCTCCTCATCCTCCTCCTCCTCTCTTTCCACCACTCTTGGAGCGGGAGCAGCGGGGGGCTGCCCATTCTGCTCCGGGCTGGTGCCATTGCCACCTCCTCCACCGCCACTATCACCTCCTCCTCCAGTTCCAGCTCCAGCACCAGCTGCTGAACCTCCTCTGGACCGCACTCTGGGCACACCAGTTTCTTGCGGTTTCTGGGTGGAATCTGGGGATCTGTTAGCCTCCTGTTGGTTCTGATGATGCAGGAAAACAGCCATATTTGAAATGCGTGAAAAACAAACAAACAAACACACACAGTTATGCCTCCTGTTACTAAATAATATTCCCTCAGACAGTTTTATCAGCCCCTACCTACTATGATAGAGTTCAAAAATGTATCTTACATATACATAATGAAATCTCTGAACTAAGATTTTGCCACACAAAGGTCTAGTGGTGTACACATTTGCCTAACAAGTGAAAAATCCCCAGATCAATCACAGGAGGAGACACAAATCCCTTTAGGTTTGTGCCAGGAACGCTGTGGTGACCACCTTATGAATAAAGAAGCAGCCAAAAGTAGTTTCTTCTTTATATTGGCAAATTAAATGTTTTCATTTAGCCACTTTATTTGCTGAAATTGAAAACAAATGCACACCAAAATGTAAAAGATTAAAACTAAATGTTATCAGACGATCCATATGTGCACTTAACTGGCTCACCGCCTCTCTTGCTCCAAGGATAACAGCAGCGTGCTTGTTCCCACTCACCCTGAGGATCTGACAAAATAAGGACGCAACTCAAGGAGACTGCGTGAACTAAAACTGTCAGGCTGCCAGACGAGTCGAGACATGCGGCAGCCTAGACATGAAGCAATTGTAACAGGTACACAGAAATGAAGACAGGACGCGTCTCCAGAGATCTGAGTAGTGAAAGCTGCCAGAGCTTTTAAACAGGCTGCTGTGCAAAAATGACCTCGCTGTGTGGTATGCTGCTTTGTGTCTCAGTCCTGGGAATTAGGCCAATATTGGTCCCAAGGACAAAAGACATACAGACTGCTTTTCTGAATAAATTAACCAGGTATGTAGTGATACTGTAACAACACGCCCTTCCTAGCCAGACTTGTCACTCTGACAAATCTGGCTGGAAGACAGAAACAAAGTGTTCCCTTAGCTGAAATATAGATGCAGTGTATGAGTTCAACTGTTGTAGAGCACGAGGCTAAGCACTGTTAAGTGCACTATGACAGTAAAAAGGGACTTTGACTTATTCACTCCACTAAGGAGGAAATGCCTTTGTTTACAGTAACAGCAAACTTCAGAGCACAAAGCCAACTTGTTCCTAAAGCTTCTATGTATGATTTAAAGGTTAATGGTTGTGCTGTCAGTGGAAACACACTGCTCCTTATCAGAATATAATCACCCTGTTCTGGGCAATTTACTGTAACAGAGACCAAATTAAATTATTAAATTAAAACTACTCAACAGCACATGATGTTACAAAGTGACTACGAAACAGACTCTTACTTTACTTCCCTCTTACTGAGACTCTTGTGTGGCAATCATTAACCACTACATTAACATAGACGGATATAGCATTAGAGCCACTGTGAAACTTTATTTCATACTGACCATATTGTTTTCGATATCCTCTGCATTGTTCGCCATTGTTGGCTCGGTGGACTCTTGTCCTCACATGCAAACCGGAACTTTTCAACCCTGACGAAAGAGAAGTGGGTCAATAGAGCATATAACCACCAACACAGGAATAAATCAAGCGTGTAAAGACAGAGAGAGTCATGTTTTGTGCAGATTATAAACTAGATTAGGCAAATTTGTTATGTGAAATGAAAGAGACAGTGACAAAAATAAATCAATCAGAAAACATATTAAATATCAGTGATTTTCCATTGCGTGTGCATGTTGTTACAAAACACAAGACCAATATGGGTGTCGGTTAGCTCACAGCATGAACATGCAACCATATGCCACAGCGGCCCAGGTTCGACTCAGATCCACAGCCCTTTGCTGCTCATCTTAACTACTTTCCTGTCTACCGGCCACTGTAAAAATGTTAAAAGTCAACCTAAAAATGCATGTTAAAAAACCTAAGACCAATATAAAATACTAAAGTAGCACTAATTAAGTGGTAGGAATTTACTTAGTGGTGGAATTCAGTGTTTCACAGAGTTGGAAATCATTTTAAAGGACAATTTCACACTTTTTTAAATACATTCTTCTCATATTTTAAACAGTTCCAGTTATTTCTCAAAAATATTACCTGTGAAATCGTTTTGAAGACTTATCAGTCATTCCATATTAATGAAAACGTTTTAAATACTAGGATAAACCTATCAGGCTTAAATAACAACCTTGATTGTGCTGAATTATGTCGATGTGTCTATCTTTCAACAGAGGGGCCTTTCTTATTGTAAAATAAGGAGGAAATGGATTTTGATGAGACTTCAGTTTTAAGAGATAACAAAACGATATGTCAAGGTAACATTTGAGCCACAAATTAGCCTTGATCGAACTTCAATCAATCAATCAATCAATCAATCAATATATACAAAATGTGTGTGTATGTACACACACATTTTGGGGGGAGGAGATCAGACAAGGGCAGTGTTCACTTCACAGCCATTGTGTACAAGAAGAATGATTACGCTGATTAGTAACTCTTCTTGTGTATACAGAGACTCGTGAGAATTGTATTTGAACCTGTACTTGAAGACTTGAAGATATCTTTGAAGGCCATAAAAATAAAAATAAATTAAACATCTATAGGAATGTAACGTTCACGTTGCTGATTACACGCCGGGAAATCCAAAATCTGTATTATTTGATCCCTTCTTCTTGCTGACTTTACATGCCTATCAGAGAGAAACCAGTAAGCTGTAACGTTGATTATCTAGCTGTAATAACTACTCACACAGGTCATTTTTAATTGGAGATTCGCTAAAATGGCTAGTTAACGATAGCCAATAATGTAATAACGATAGAGCAAGCTGCGACCGCTGCGGGTGGTTAGCGCTGGGTAAGTTGCGTAACCCAAATTTCAAATGGTTCCTGAAAAGGTCCCTTAAAAGAATTACACTTACCTGCTATGAACGCAAGATAATTTCCTTAATTTGGGGGTTCTCGAGTCGGGTTTAAACCCGGGTACTTTCTCCTCTTTGTTGTTCCTGTGTTCTCGCAATACATCCGGCTGCTGCTGGAAACTACTTCCTGTAGAGTCAGCGAGTGTTCAGGATCAAAAAACAGTTCGAGATTTGTTTGTAGTCTTTATTGTTTTGCCAACCTCGTCGAATTAAATAAATTCTAAGGATAGAATATTCGCCATACCGAAGCAGTAATAAGCAGTAATAAGAAACGGAAACAAATAGCTTGAATTAAAATAGCGCATTTTGTGCTCAGCTGGTTGTTCTTCCGGGTAACAAAGGTCAACAGAGGAGAAGACGCAAGGAGCTAAGAAAATCTGCAGAGAGCTACTCAAAAGCGTCAGAAAACATGGTTAGTACGTTTTGATGCACTGTTTGCAGGAATGATTTGTACGAAGAGCAAAAGCAGTGCGTCGGTTTTAGCGGGTCATTTCAGCAGAGCCGGGTTTGTTGTAAAAACGATTTGTAACGCATAGTTAGCATGAGTGGGCGTTTGGCTGCAACAAACCTCTGAAGAAATGAAGCACATTCACGACTGAGAGACTAGCAGCCTGAGGCGAAAATATTATTTTAATTACTTTTATTAACAGTTTTTTGCCACTTGCTTATCGCCTAAAGAGAGCTTTACTTAGCACTGAGACGAATAGTTTGCTGTAAGCTTAGGTGTACGTCTATTTGTTTATAATTCGTTTTAAAATGGGCCGTTTGGATTTTGAAACATTTTTGTCAATTTTTTAAATTGTTGTTGTGGTTGGCCCCCAAAAATGTCCACTGTTCTTAATATTCCTCCATCAGTCCTAAATTTTCATGAGAATTAGTCATTCTAGGTTAATGAGCCAGATAAGATTCTAAAATTGCGTAGTTTTTACAAACAAAACCAAAATATTGCATTTTAATATACCACGTGTAATAACTTGATTATAACAGATGGAATGTATTTGTTGAATGTAATGTAGTTATTTATTTAATACTCAATGTGCCTTATATTGAAAGACAATTAAATTAAATAAAAGTAAAAATGTTTGAAAATTAGTAACTTAGGTGACAGAACTGTGCAAAAGTCTTAAGCCACTCCTCATTTCATTATGTTTTGCTTCCAGTCAGCCAGAAATTTCTGTACTATTTTTAAGGGGTTCTTGAGCAGCAGTTCTCCAGTCTCACACAGGGTTAAAATAGTAATTTTGCACCATCAAGATGACTACAAAGAGTTACTAGCTGAAAACTTGGCATATCTTAGCATGCCGTGCAGAGTGCATGGAAGAAAATTGAAGAAACCTGACAAAATAAGTGGTAGGCTAAAAAAGAAACTCTACACCAGATATCTGAAAGTTATATCCTTAAGAAATAGCAAATAAATAAATAAATAAATTAAACAAAGACCCAACACAGGATCTGAGAGATGCAATAAGAAGCTATTCTTAAGATGGGTAAACAGGAAGAAAAGGCTGAGGTATTCCAGATTATACAACAACTGGACTGAAAATCAGTGGGAACAGGTCTTATTGAGAAATTTGTCCAAATTAATAGAATTATGAACACAAGTAGCACAGATGTTGATCTACTACGTAAAACCATCAGCAGTGCATCTGATTGGCAACACCTTAATTTTTCAGCATGACAATGACCCAAAAAAAAAAACCCACAAGCAATACAGTAAAAGCATACCTGGGTAGAAGAACACACTGTAGAATACTATCAGTCATGGATGGGCCTCCCCAGAGCCCAGGCCTCATTATTAGTGAAGCATTGTTGTATTATGTTGACATGGATTGGAAAAACAAAAAAGGTAGCCAACATCCAAACAATGGCTTTGAATGTCCTTCAAAGAGCCCTGCAGAGCTATTCCTGAAGGCTACTCAAAGACATGACAAGAAGCCTAAGATGGTCAGAGCAAATATTGACTTTCATGCTTCTTAGAACTATAAACTGTTTTTGCCTCAGATTCTATATTCACACAGAAGTACACCCCCACAAACTAACGAAAAAGACATTTGAAGATGTTGAATTGAGAAGGTGACTTGTATTATCAGACTAACAATAAGTATTTTGTTTTTCAGTCTCACACCATACTTCTGGTACAGCCCACCAAGAGGCCGGAGGGAAGGACCTACGCTGATTATGAGTCAGTCAATGAGTGTATGGAGGGTAAGCTGGTGGTTCTTTGTTCTTTTGTGTATTGCCTTTTCTTTCAGTGATATGTAATTCCACTCCACACTTCCAGGCTTTCATTGTTTACATGTACACAGCTTACGTGCATCCACCTGAAACTTTAGTCAAACTTGGAAACATCATGGAAACTTTACAATCTATCTTAAGTCTGTAGTGTTAAAATATTAAGGGAAACTGGTTATTTTCACCCGACATGTATGCAACTTGTGTTTACTTACGTGAGAAAACATTTGGTTGTAGTGGTCAGGCAGTTCAACTAAAACTGTCCAGTAAACTCTGGTCATTTGACAAGTAATTGTCAAATAAGCATTTCATATGGTAATAATCTCCTGTTTCTAGTAGCACAGTTATCTTTCTTTGACTTTAGGAAGGAATTAATCTGTTATGTTATTATTTTTACTGCAGTATTTCTAATCATAGACTTTTCAGGTATTTATTTTGTAAGGTATTCCTTATTTGCATCAGAAATCAAAACATTGTCAAGTGAATATGGAAATAATTACTCATTGTGAGTGTAACATAGCATATTTCCCCCCTGCACAGGTGTATGCAAGATGTATGAGGAGCATTTAAAGAGAATGAACCCCAACAGTCCGTCGATAACATACGATATCAGCCAGCTGTTTGACTTCATTGATGACCTGGCTGACCTCAGCTGTTTGGTGTAAGTTTCATGTTAAATTATTAAATTGTTTGTCATATCCAGCCCTGTGTATGTCTTCTAAACCTATGTATGTGCAAAGCATAATTAACTGATGGTAGAGAATGATACGTTTTTTAAAAAAACAAGAGGAGTCAATAGAGTGTTAAGTGTTTGCCACATCAGTGCATTCAGTTAATGATTCTGTTTGCTAAATCTGCTGGGCAGGACAGATTTAAAAAGGGGGGTGGGGTTCTATAAAAAAGAGAAATAAGTCTTGATGCATGCTCAGGCATCCAGGTAAAGAAATCCCAAAAAGTTGATTCTGTTCATCTGGATGTAGCGTTTTCAGTGGGGGAATCGTTTCGTCACTCAAATGACTTCGTCAATCTCAGCTGAATGCAGGTTTCCCCAACCTTATAAACCGTGGAACCGTGGAACCGTGGAACGTGTCCTCTCTGGTGGGGAAGGAGCCGCAGTTAGTATGTGAGGTTGAGAGGTACTGGCTGAATAAGGTCAGGCTCACCTAAGTGCACGCACAGCTTAGGCTCCAGAACCAGTCTCGTGGAAAAGGCCCGGACTCTTTCTCAGTTGGGAGTTGCCCTTGGTGAGAGGCGGCGGCCTGGGGTGGGTATCTTAGCATCCACTCAACTTCCTGCCTGTACAGTGGGGTTTTTCCCAGTGGGTGAGAGGGTTTGTTCCCTGCACCTTCGGGTTGGGGAACAGGTCCTGACTATTGTCTGCTCCTATGCGCTGAACGACAGTTCAGAGTACCGAGCCTTCTTTGGAGTCCCTGGGTTGGAGTGTTTGAGGGTGCTCCACCTGGAGACTCTTTCTTTTTACTGGGAGACTTGAATGTTGACATGGGTAATGACAGTGAGAACTGGAGGGGAGTGACTGGGAAGAATGGCCTACCAGATCTGAATCCGAGTGGTGTTCTCTTATTGGACTTCTGTGCAATATATGTGAGGTCACTGAGACATATTATCAATTCCTTGGTGGCAGGGCCCTTGTGGTGGATAGTGTTCACCCTGAGTTCCTGAAGGGCTTGGCCCACATAACTGGCAATAAGTCAGACCCCAGTGGGTTTTGGACTCTGCCAGGGCTGCCTTGGCATCTTGTGGTTGCCTCCAGCTCACACTGGAGTGGTTTGCACCCAAGTGTGACGCACGGGAATGAGAATCAGCACTCCAAGTCTGAAGCCGTGGTCCTCAGCCAGAAAAGGGTGGAGTGCCCACTCCTGGTCAGTGACCAGTTACTTTAACTCCTCCACTTGGGGCAGTATCTTGGGTTCTTTTCACGAGTGAGAGAACAGGAGATTGACAGACCAGTTGTTGCTGTGGCTACAGTGATATGGGCACTGTACTGGTCGGTCGAGGTGAAAAGGAGGTTGAGAATAAAAGCGAAGTTCTCAATTTACTGATCAGTCTACGTCCCTGCCGTCACCTGTTGTTAGGAGCCTTGAGTAGTGACCAAAAGAAAGAGATTGGGGATAAAAGCAGTGAAAATTAGCTTTCTCCAAAGGGTAGCCTAACCCTTCCCTTAGAGAGGGTGAGGAGTTTGGCCAGCCAGGAATGGAACAGAGTAGAGACGCTACTCCACCACATCGTTAGGAGCCAGTTGAGGTGGTTCGGGCATCTTAAAAGGATGCCTCCTGAATGAGGTGTTCTGGGCATGTCCCACTGGGAGGAAGTCCTGGGGCAGACCCAGGACATACTGGAGAGGTTATATCTCTCAGCTGGCCTGGAAACACCTTGGTGTTGGGGAGAGGGAGGTCTGGGTTTCTCTGCTTAGGCTGCTCCCCCTGCAACCTGGCCTTGGATAAGCGGAAGAAGATGGATGGATAGGTCAGTACATGGACTCTGCGCTCAAACCAGCATTCCTCCCTGTCCAGGATGCGTACATCCTTATCATTGAAATAATGGCCACTGGCCTGTAGGTGTAAATAGACTGCAGAGTCCCCTGGCCTGACGAGTTAGCTCTTCTGTGTTGTGCTATCCACTTAGCCAAAGGTTGTTTGGTTGCCTTGATGTCTTAATCATGGCAAGCATGTGTCGGGGGACCGGATCCTAGCGCGGCATGTTTTGGGGATGTTTGTGGATGTGTTATGCTCCAGGTAGTCCAGGAAGGATGAAGGACAAGTGCTGCCTAAGCGAAAATCTTTAGTGATCCCTTGTGTGTCAGGAGTATCGGAAGAGTTTAGATGCGTTTTCTCTAGACACCACATCTCTGTGGCTTTCAAACCTCACAGCCCATCCTTCTTCAGTGGTGCTAGTTTAAGTCATTATGCAAATGTACTGTTTATAAGAGACTGAGACTGAAGAAGTCGCTTGAATGAGTGACATTTCACCCACCAAAAAACAGTACAGCCAAATGAACAGAA